CACTAGATCCGGTATCAGCAGCCGTTTCTCGTGAGGCCTCGGAGGCCGCATCGGCCACGAAGAGGGCGTGAGGCGCGGGGCAATGCTCGAGACGTTGGATACGGTGGTGGCGGTGCGACCGCTTGCCGCGCTGCTCATGCTCGATGTCTTTCCTGAGGATCGGGGACCACCGCCAGTGCCTTGACAAAATGTATTCGGCGGCGGAGAAACGCCGTAGTACGGCTTGGTGGAGCGGTCATATTTCGGAGGGACTCTGTTGGTTGCTGTGGGCGTGGGTGTCGAGAGGGGAGACGATGAGAAGACGCCTGCCTTTTCGACCGAGGTGCCGAGAGGAGTTCCTGGGATGGAGACGTTGATGTTGATGCTCGGTCTCTCGAGGCTCACGTGGGTGGAAAGCAGTCGTCGTTGCTGTAGACGGGGTGGAGGTGTCAAAGGCGTCCGGATGCCTTCACGTATAGCGTACAAGTGGCTCGAAAGGGGCGTGGGCGATGTGTCTGGCTGGGGATTGGGATGCCCGATCTCGCTCTTTAGGCTGTGGTCGTAGTCGTCTCGTGAGCGACGGCGGAACAGGCATATGACGAAGGCTATGATGGCGAGGAATGCTATGGCGGAAGACGTGCCGATGGCGACTTTGATTCCCGTGGGTAGCCCATCTTTTCGATGGGTTTGAGACTGATTCGCGAGTGGTATGAAGGATGTCGGGTATGCCGTCGCCGATGTTGTTAAGTGTGCCGACGTTTTTGAGGCCGACGATGCAGTCGATGATGCAGTCGATGATGCAGCCGATGGCATGACTTCCGGCGGGACCGTGGCCATTATCCCGAAGTCTGTGAATAACGGTTCTCTACTTCTTGAATCCGTCTTGTACGACGGTCTCATGTCCGTATTGATAAACGGTCCATTCAACGATATCGGACAGATGGAGTCATCCGGGGGAGGTCCTGGGTCTTTGATTACTGGTGCAAAGATACTGAGCTCTAAAGTCAGTTAAGAAGGGTCAAACTCGAGAGGGGCCGACTTACCCTTGACATACATTAATAACCAGATTTACGCTGGCTGAGCTGAAGTCAGAAGCCATACGACAACAGAATATCAAGAGCTGTCTCTCTACTCACGATCCTGTCCCAGCTCTGGTTTTCCACTCAAGTGAACCCCGCATTCAGTCGCATCGCAGCAATACAACTCCCATAAAGTGTTCTTCGCGTCCTTATCGTCTGCTAGCAGATGCTTGCAAACCTCATTGTACCTCGATCCATTAAAGCCAGGTACTACCCTTGCCAGGACCTGGGCTCGACACTCCTCGATGCATTTTTGCGGATCCGAAACATTGCTCGCCACTGATCCCCATGCCTCCTCTTTCTTGTCCAGCTCCGGATGATCATCTTCCCCCGTTTCCATGGTCGATGGATGAACCTCAGTTCAGCAGGGCTGTGATGGACGGCAAGGCGGGTTTGTACTTCGTCTCTCGGGCGAGTGTAGCCGTGAGTATAGTGTCTTGTGAGTCCGTGGATGAGAGGCTTTCAGGTCAGGTGAGACAGATGACCACTCTCTCAATGGCAGCTCAGCTGAGGTTGTGAAGGCTCTTTGCGTGAATGGTCTTGGCAAATGTGGGAGTGATGTGTGGCATCAAGTTGACCAGAACTCAAACGCAATATCCGACGAGGGGCTTACATATTCAGCAAGGCGTTCATATCTTTGATATATACCATGTCTACTTTCGAGACATACGGGGCAGCTCACACAGGAGGCTCGGTGAAGTGAAAAGAGGCGGACAAGGTGTCGGGAGGGACTGGCCAAGCATCACCGTGGTGGCTACACCGCACTGTATCTGTACGCTCCCGGACTCCATGGCCTTTTGCACGTAGTCAACGTCGTACAGCCTCAAGAGACTGTTGGAAGAGAGACATATGCACGTACCCGAGTGGCCCGCAACCGTGTTAGAGAGAGTTAGCCAGGACTTAATAAATTGACAAAAGCTGGCCGTAAACCCGCCCCAAATAGACACTCAAGATAGCCCTATTGGCCTGGAGAACAGGCTCGGATTCTGCAGTACTCACTAGCTTCGAGATTCTTACCTCCGTGTCGTGCGTACTTGAAGATTCTGCATCAACAAGGGGGTCCAGGAGGGGAGCTGACATCCCCTTGAAGAGAAGCGATACCGTTTCGGCGTCCACCAAAGCTCGTATTCTTCAAGTCTCTCAACGATGGACATTCCGCTCGCTGAGATGCCACCCGAGAAGTCTTTCACCTCATTTCGTTCGATGGAGTCAGTCCTGGAACAAAAGATGCTCATAGGTTCTGTGATTGGACCTGCATCTATGGGGCTTCCGTATCACGAACGGCCCTACTTCGCACGAAACCCAACAGGAAGCACCGCGGCGGGGACAGCATTTCGCGACCTCATCCATTCGGAGGATACACTAGCAGTACGGCACCCAGATCTTCCCGCCCCCGCCCCCTTTTCGTCTCCTCTCTTGATCGGCAGTCTTGTTCGAAGACGGCCCGTTCAAGCTAGCCGACTGAAGTACTAAGCTTATACGGGATGGGTGTAGCCATCTTTCCTAGCAAAGGTGCTTTCGCCCGGGACGAGTGACTGGCGAGGGGTGCTACGAACCGGGCCGGGGACCATCTGGCGGCGTTCGCTGAAGAACACAGACCAAGGTATCACGGGTTCGGAAACCAATGGTTTTCCATCGTACGCGAGCTCCCACGGATTCGTTGTCAGACTTCCGCGAGATGCCTTCCAGGGTGGGTTAGCGCGGTTGTACTCGTGGTTCAACTTGGTCATGACCTTATTCTTTGCATGTCACTCTGATGAATTACTTATGACTCTTGATCCGTTCGGGGGTCTCGGGTGCTTGAAGGAGAGTTTATCGGTAGTAGACTGTCGCACAAGCTTGTTACCCACGACGTCCCGTCGCGAGTGGGATGGCTTAGCAAAGACTACGAAGTCAAAACTGCAGTCGAGGAGTGATAATCTATCGATTTTTCTCTTGTTCGAGATTCCTCTTCTGACTTGGAAGGCTGAAGGGAGAAGAAACGTTTTCTGGGTCAGCAGCTCATCACCTTCTAGAAGCCTGGGCATCGTGTCAAAACCGGTTGGTTCTTGGGTTGAGACAGTAATTCATGCCTGCAGCCGTCGCACTCGCGTCATATAGACCCTTGCCTTGGTGTTATTTCGGCAAAATTCAATCAACCAGCATCTACACTGGGCGACCAAAAGAACATGCAGGGCGAAACGGAGATTATGCCTATAAAGTCTAGAGTTGCGAGTGCTACACGAAGTATGACCAGCATTCACACTCAACGCAACCGCCACCTAGTTTGACGGGTTAGATTGAATAATGAGGGATCAGAAAGAGCCAAATGGACGATCACCAGCGGGTTGTAGATCGTGTATAGACTGCGGCAGCAGAAGCACGGCACAGGTGGGCCAAGGTAGGGTCGTACAACTCGCGTGGGAAAACTTCCGTGATGTCTGCCTAGGAAGCTGAAAGGCCCAACACTGGGGCGAACAGTCAACGGCGATGCCTCATTGGTATGGTGTTAGCATGGCGTCCTGTGGCTGTAGATTGATTGTCGAGGGCTGCATGGATTTTCAGAGATATCTGAAGTCATCCGGGGTGGCTGACCTGCACGACGGGGCGGTCATACCTTGGTATTGCAAGGAGTGGCACTTTTACCCCTATGATACACTTATTCTCAGCTTGGATGGAGAGCAGTAGACGTTAAGAAATGTGAGTGCCACTTTGCGCACTCTAGACGATGTCGGTGGTCTTCCCAGATGGTTTCGTATTGCTTTCTCATCCCGCAGTAGAATAGGAGGTCGACAATCTGACTTGGCGTAAAGATTACGCTGGCTGCTTCTCACATCTTAAGCTGACTGCCGGGGTACCACATCGGAACAAAAGCTACATGCTGACGACAGTAGCCTGCGTTCTGTCGAATATCAAAATCCAGCATGGAGGTCTGTCAAGAGAACCTAAATCCTCCCTCCGCGATGAAGTACCACAGGCCTAGTAAGTCCCTCGAACTTATGCAGCCTCGGAGGAAAAGCGCCAATTTCTTCAGCCATTTGACTCCAAAGCAAGTTTCGCCCGGATTTGAGGAGCCGTCGGAAACAAGGGGTGGTAAGTAAATGGCGCGCCGCCTGGCGGGAGGCTGCAGTGAATCCGACGGGTTTCCATGATGTTTGCTGGCTCAGCTCCGCTCCACCAGGCTGCAGTGAACGTGCCGGTCCTTTATTTGCGAAGAGGGCGTTAGCTGAGCGATGTGTGCTTATGCAACCTCCCGTCGAAGGTCTTCTGAACGGGGCAAGCAAGGCTTCTTATTTTATAGGAATATGTTGATCTAGCAGAGGCGGTGATTATTCTTGTTGGAGCTGGATTTTGGAATCAAGACTCCAAGTAAACCGGAAGCTGCGTATTGCGTAAGCAGTTTCCTTTTGACACTTTCAACTGCAGGTTTCTTTTTACGGCAGGGGCACAGGCATAATGAACTCTGAAAAGGATAATCAATGCCTTTCTTCAATCAATTGGCATTACAGGCAGTATTTCGCTATGTCCAGTGGCCCGCCAGTGGCAGTTTCTTTCCTTTAAAACGCGACTCGACCTTTTGAACGAAGAGTCTGATGTTTCCCTCCAGATACTTGGTGAAGAGATTCGTGTCGCGTAATGCCACTTCTGTCGTGCCGGTCTCACAGATCGCCCCCGTAATCTTCAGGATGCTCTTGTTATTATCTCTGTTATCGATTCGGCCCTCACACGGGCAAGCAAGCGTTGAAGGTCGCCCAGGTCCGCATAGTATGGGTATTCTGATTCCAATGGCCATTGCTTGAGGGTCACGTATAAAGTATGAGACGCATCATCCAGACCGTTAGTACGTGCAGAGAGGTGCCACTTCTCCAAGTCGAGTATAGAAACGAGGAAGTCGACCAGTAATTCGACGTGGGGAAAGTCGAGGATGTTCGTTTCGATCCTTTTCGAGTAGGTCTCATTGAGTCATCTAGGGCCACCTTGCAGTGATTGCTCTTCCTGGTTCGATGAGTCTTGATGTGCCTTGGCCGTGAATTCCTTGATGGAATTGCTGCGTTCGACGTGGGGAAGAAATGAGGCAGCAGTTTCCTGGACGCATTTGATCATGGTTGAAGGACATTTGCGCAGCAAAGTGTCATCTGGTAAAGCTTGGTCTTTCTGAATGGCAGCGGACGAAGGCGTGACGTCGGCGGGATCGCTTTCCCTGATCTTTACCCAAGACGGGATGTCATGCTCGGTGACTGGCTTATCGTTTTGGGGATCTTCGGCCATGCTTGTGGTGAATTGATGAGACCAGTGTAAAGATGAGGCTTTTTCGGTCTTGTGACTGACCATTTGTTAGATTTCAAAAGCATTTTCCGGTGACGGGGAGGTCAACTTACCACTTTGGCGGGCGTCAGTGACGGGATCGCGAGGCGCTTAGTCGCTGATTCTGTTCAAAGCCAGTCAAAGTTGAGTGAAATATACTGATGAAAGTTAGCCTCTTGATCAAAAAGTTTTCCTGGACAGTGAGCAAATCCGATGCTCAATAAGACATACTTTGGACCTTGACGGAGGAACGGAGAACGGAAGAGGTGAAACGGAACCTGAGGTGAGAAAGGATAGTAGTGAGACTATGAAGAGAGAGAAAAGGAAGAAAAGCCTGAAGAGGTAGAAGAGTGAGATAGGTGAGAAGGGCACAGGGTGGGGAAGGAAGAGTAAAGCGAGGAAGGAGTAGAGTCAAGAATGACCTGAGTAGGAAGGAGAGACATAAGGGAAGGAGAGAGTGGCTGGCGAGTAAGATGGAATAGATGGCGAGGTATCTACAGAACAGAGGAAGCATCTTACCTGAGCTGTGATCGCGAGTTTGGTTGACAGTAGGAAGGAGCTTTGCAGGCTGCTTGACTAGGCGCTATCCATGACGGTGGGGTCTGATAGAATGAGTCTTGGGAAATGAAATTTCAGTCGCAGACAGGCCGCCTGTCTGGGACAGTTTAAAGTCTTGTCCAAATATTATGACGATGGTGGAAAAGTTCGGAAATGAGAATGAGTGTCGAATTGGGCTGTTGAGAAGTAGGCCAGGGGAGCAAAGGACCCAGCTATTTTGACTGTATGCCATCGTCACCGGCTGGTGCCCACGCTTAGGTGATGCCTGCCTTCCACAGTCGCATGCCATCATGATATTGCCTTAGGTACCTAGGTGCCATCAGGCAGGGCAAGATTCTTGAGATATCCAATGCAAAGTATCGGAGCGCCGGCTGCCGGTAAGGTGGGTCTCCCGTCTCTTGAGCTCCTGCCGCGTTAGGCCCCGTCTACCGTGCCTGCCCTACCTCGGGCCTTTCGAAATCGCACCTCCGTTCTCTACAGCAGGTGATTTAAGTCAGATCGATTTCAACCTTAACCTTCACTTTCACTCTAGGTAAAGGTCTGCTGCGCCTCGATCAATCTCCAACCTCTTCTCGGTAAGTCTAGGCTGTGGATATCGGTTCCCTGAGTGAGGATAGGTACTTACCAACTTCCTTTCCGTCAAAACAGACCTATTTAGACCAACCCGATACAAAAGAAGAAGTCAAAACCCCCAGTACTCGTCAGCATGGCCAGCCCTATCCCCTGGATCCTTGCCATGTTCGCCCGAGATGCGTAGGCCAACCAAGGGCCCTCTTATCAACCATTTCGCCTCACGGTCCCTCGAGGAGGTATAGCTATCATCTATGCCGAAACCCAGGGATTCAGCCGCATTCCGCAGCCTCGGGTCCTCAGGGTTAAGATGCCTGCCCGCGCCTCCCCCCGCACAACATCGAAGTCTCGCACATCATGGATGGCGATGTTGGTGCTTACATCGCTAGCCGAAGTAATCGGGGCCGGACCACCTGAGAGGAGATGAGCGAATCGATAGCGCCCTGGAAGACTGGGATGACGTGACGCTTTTGGTGCCCCACGCAACCCGCGCTGGGACCTGAATGGAATTATGCAGTACAAGTGTGGTGGTTGCGCGGGGGTCGAGAGAGCGGGGCATTGGTTGGGGGTTGTTAATCATCATGCAATGGAGGGGTAAAGTGACGGCGTCTTGGGTGGTGGAGGGGTCGAGCTGTACCTGAGGGAAGGATAAAAGGGTTCAATGTGTCTGAGTAAAATTAGAAATTCCATACGTTTGATACGAGGAATCATTGAAGCCGCAACATTGACTCATCCATACTGATTAGAAACATTCAAGAACAGCCATTGAGAGCCATTGAGATATACAAACGACAAAATGACCAAGATTCTCCTTACAGGTAAGTGACGAGTGAGATCACGGCCGCACTCCCAGCATCCTCCACAGCAAACCGCTTCTCTCCTGCGGGCGAGAAGCTCTCAATGCGACTCCAGAACACAATACACTAACACATCACCAGGTGGCTCCGGCTTCATCGCCGCCCACATCCTCGAACAGCTCCTCGCGCGCGGCCACTCCGTCGTGACGACCGTCCGCTCAGAGGACAAGGCCCAGCGCATCCGCGACGCCCACAAGGACCTCGACGCCTCCCGCCTCCACGTCGCCATCGTCCCGGACATTGCGCGCCCCGACGCCTTTGACGAGGTCGTCAAGACCCCCGGCCTCGAGGCCGTCCTGCACACCGCCAGCCCCTTCCACTTCAAGTGGACCGACGCCCAAAAGGAGCTCATCGACCCGGCCGTCGTCGGCACCACGGCCATCCTCAAGGCCCTCAAGCGGGAGGCGCCGGGCGTCAAGAGGGTGGTTGTCACCTCGAGCTTCGCGTCCGTCATTGACGAGGCCAAGACGGAGGACCCCAACACCATCTTCACCGAGGAGTTCTGGAACCCCGTCACCGTCGAAGATATCGGGCGCAGTCCCGCGACGGCGTACCGTGCCTCCAAGAAGCTCGCCGAAAAGGCCGCGTGGGATTTCGTAAAGGACGAGAAGCCCGGCTTCGACCTCGTCACGCTCACTCCCCCCCTCGTGCTGGGCCCCGTGGTGCACCACTTTGCGGACCTCGCCAGCATCAACACCTCCAACGAGCGCGTCGTAGACCTAGTCAAGGGCAAGTGGAAGGACGCCGTGGCGCCGACGGGCGCGGCGTACCTCTGGATCGACGTGCGAGACCTGGCGCTCTCGCACATTCTGGCGCTGGAGAAGCCCGAGGCCGGCGGCAAGAGGCTCTTCACGACGGCCGGATGGTTCAGCAACGCCGAGATTGCGCAGGTGGTAAGGAAGAACTTCCCCGAGCTGAAGGAAAGGTTGCCCGCGGAAGGCACCAAGGGCGGGGAGCTGCCGCCCAAGGATAAGGTGTACGGGTACGACAACAGCGCGACGGAGAAGATTCTGGGGATCAAGTGGAAGAGCTTGGAGGAGAGCATCACTGATTTGGTCAAGGATATCAAGGGGTTCGGGATCTAGACTGCTACCATATAACTTCGCAAGAGATAACGAATACATAAGACAAGAATCTTTCAACAGCCTCATGACTGATGTACATGAAATGGTCGTGTGTTGCTTTGCGTAGTGCCGTCCTATTTCACTGAGCATTTTCACTCTTTGTGCCTGATATCTTAGATGTTTTATCAAACATGCGACGACAGAGGTCGCTTCTCTCTGTCCTTAATCTTTTGCAATCGTGAATTCGTTTTGAATTATACTATACTACTAGAATAAAGAATTATACTATACTACTAGAATAAAGAAACGAGGATTAAAAAAGAAACGAACGCATGGGAGGGGAATACTGCACTTATAATTCACGCCCCTGCCCGGACTCGAATAGGTCGCCCCTCAGCCAACCCGGCCTCTGACTTCACTGTAGTATTCAATTTATCAGACCGCTTGACCACCTGGTACACAGCTTGACCTGACCTCGCCGACCTAGATGGGCGCTGCTGTACTTGTGACAGAATTGGGACTGGGGAGGGGAATATACCCTTGGCCCATGGCTGCCCGGACAACTGCCTCAGGGGAAGGAGCGAGGCAAACGGAAGAGCCCAAGAACATATTCATCCTTGAGGTTAGATATTCCGAAACGGATAATCTTATAACAATGCCAAAACCAAACAAACAGACAGCAATTCGTCTCTTCATGAGAACCATCTTACTCGCAGGGTCCGGAGGCTGTAGGTTCATGATCAGAACCAGTTCATGGATCTCATACTGCCAATGGTCAAAACTTTTATTGCAAGAAACTACATACCAAACTTATGCCAAATAGCCTCCAGTGCTTCAAAATCTTCTAAATAGTGGCATTCACCCCCCAAGGTCCAAATCCAGGCCAATGCTGCCCACCACCACCGCCTCCTCCTCCTCCACCACCACCACCACCACCACCCCATCCATACGCATCAGGATCCAACATCCCCCTCCTCCCCATCCACCCGCCCCCAAGCCGATTATGCTCCTCACACAAACTACCATCCCGCCCCCTCACCTCAACCCCATTCCCACACCCAGGCCTCCGACACCTCGCGTGCGCAAGACAATACCGCGAACCACCCCCATTCACGCCGCCCGCCGCCGGCTCCGCGCAGCCCTCCTGACCGCACACGTGAGCCCGGCAGTACGGCGACAGCGGCAGGTTGAGGCTCAGCACGCCCAGCATCATCATCGTCTGCGACAGGACGACCGTCTCGCGGAGCTGCTGGCAGCCCTGGACGGAGCACTTGTGGTCGGTACAGTAGCGGCCCAGGACGGACCGCTCGTTTTGGCAGCTGCGGTCTCGGCAGGTGTGGTCTAGGCAGAGGGTACCCCCTTCCACGACGCGGGCGTCGCAACCTGCTCTGCGGCAGCGGGTTGCCAGGTCTGGAATGATGAAGTCAGCTTGCTTGCTCTGGGGAGACTCGAAGAATAACCAGAGTCAAGGTTAGGGGTTCAGGGGCCGAGTATCAAGAAACGGCAAGAGGAGAAGAAGAGAAGAGGGTGCAGAACTCACGCTCCTCGCACATATCCCTCACATTCTCCCCATCCACATGTCGAAACCTCCCACACCCAGGCGTGCCACAAATCCTATGCCGATCACAGTAGTCCCCAAACGCCCCATCCCTCTCACAATCCCTCCTCGCACACTTATGTCTCACGCAAAAACTGCTCCCCTCCCACTTCCTCTCCCAGCACCCCTCCCGATCACACTCGTGCCTCTTACAATACCGTCCCGCCACGCCGCCCGCGTCCGGCATGTACCTCGTCTTGATCCTCCCGCAGCCCCTCTCCTCGCAGGTATGCGCCAAGCACGTCCCCTCGCCGGCGCCCGCCGCCCTCGCGTTGCCGCACGGCGGCTGCTGCTCGAATCGGCAGTGGTGCTCGCCGCAGTGGGCCGAGGGGACGCCGTGCTCGTTGACGTGGGCAAAGCGCCGGCAGCCGGGCGTGGCGCACATGCGGTGGCGGTCGCAGTGGCGGGAGGGGTCGTGGGCGTCGCCTGTCGCGCCGGGGCTGCGGGCCAGGCAAGAGGGTGCGGCGCAGGTGTGGGAGGCGCAGAAGGAGGATGGAGGGGATTTCGGGTTCGTGCAGTCTTGGTGGTCGCAGCGGTGGTCTGCACAGTATCTGTAGTCGGTGCCGTTGGGGTGGTTGCGCTGGTTTGCGCAGCCTTGTTGGATGCAGTTGTCTGGATGGTTGTTAGATGGATGATGGAGGCTTATGCCAGGGTAGAGGATGAGAGATGGGCAGACGTACGATACTGGGAACAGTACCTAAACTCTTTGGGGTCGTAGTTCTTGATGTAGTTGTTGCATCTAGCATCATTCATCATGCCTTGGCATAGAAGATCTAGCAAAAGGATCAGTGATCATATTTCAGGGGTACTATGATATCCTCGAGGTTCAGCGGCGACGTACGTTGTTGACAATATCCCCTATTATTAGTCCTCATGTTCAAACACGCAGCGTTATTGTCAATCTTTTTGCAGCAATGGAGCTTGCAGAATCGAGATGGATAGCGGTTTCCATCTTTCGTCAAGGTCACCCTGGAATAGGGACACCGACCCGCGGGCGTTGCGTAGCTGCATAGTCTCTCCAACTCCTGAGGCGTGAGTCTCTTTCTTCTACTCATGGTGAGCTCCTGTGACTCTGATCAATCGATTTAATGGAGTATTTGATTTTTGTATGCAGATCCGGAGAGAAGAGTTTGTTCAAAAGATCTGACTCAATGTGCCGGAAACTGAAGGAAAATGAAGACGAAGTGGGAAAACGTTGCTCAGTATTAGTCCCCCTGGGCTTTTAAGCTGCGAACCAAAACGCCTTCTTCAAAGTCCGCATAAAGTCGGTGAGCAACCACCCGCGAGGCAAATCAAGGCAACAGAGAACTCGCGAGCAAAAAAATAGCTTTCTTGTGTGGAATGCGAGATATGATGGGGATACTTCAAGCCTGATGACGTGGGGAAAAAGGCGGTGGTCGAGATAGGACGAGGGAGAGGGCTGCTCATGTGAGGCCCACGGCCGAGACCCGATCAGGCCTTCTTCTAAGAATACAAAAGAGACTCGTGACTTGGATGTAAAGGCGAGGAAGTCAAGTACTACAAACTCTTTGGATAAGGCCATCCGAAGTCATGTTTGGTCTTGCTGTTGAGGGGAGGCGGTGTGCCTCACGACGGTTCCACGAAGATGTCGGTACCCGGGTTTTGGGGTTCAACGGTGAGTCTTTCTTCGGGAAGAAAAATTCAGACTGACGGATGTTTGCTTTACACTGAAGAAGAGACGAGGTCACCGGGTTTGAGTCCTGAGATCTCCCATAGGCCATCTGATTAACAGATAATGGTTTCCGACAGCAACGTTAACTAATGATATTGTTTCCTGTACATAGCAGGCATAGCCTTTGCGGTTCATATATGGCACACTTTACAAGATATCCTCACCACTAAATGACGAGAGACTTGAAACCACTCACCTCAACAGGGCAGGAAAACGTTGCTCCTTGCGTATCATCGAGGACGAACTCAGCAACTCTCGACTTCAGGGACATTGCCAAGGATGACCCTATGGTAATCCCCTAAGCTGAGGGAAAGTACCCAGGATCAAAAGACAAAACCGCAAAAGCATACCCACTGTCCAAAAAACAACATATCCTTCATATCAGCAAAAGAATTGCGTCGAGGGGGAATCGAACCCCCGGCTCCCCGACGCTGCTTGGATGGCAACGGAGAATTTTACCACTAAACCATCGACGCAGATGATCCCGAATCGAACGTATCTCGATGCTGGGTGGTTGACGGTGTCGGGTGGATGTGTAATTATATCCCTCAATTTGCAAAATTTCGACGAGGAAGCGGTTCCAGGGTTTGTGGTGGGTTGACGTTGGAGCTGTGGAGCTGTGGTGGATGGGTGGGGCTACACATGATTACCCAGGTTGTTAAAATCGCAAAATCGGAATAATCTTGGGGAAGAAAGATTGAACATACGAGTTCAGATTTGTGCTGGTTCGTTCGCGCTGCGCTGGGTTGGATGGGCGTGATGGGTAAAGTGAACTCTTCGTAGTCGGTAGTTGTGAAACAAAAGACCACAACCGATTAGAGTCAGTATCATTCGGTGAGGCGAGGCAGGGGCTAAGCTTGATACCTAGACTTCAAAACGAGTGAGACCATGCAGAAAGAACGGGCAAAGTAGTCTGTTGGACATGTCGGAATCAGCCTCGACAGAACTTGCAAGTGAAGACCGCCCCCTCTCAACAGGTTGCACCTGTATCACATCTCGGCAATGGATGTCGGTACGATAAATAAGCAGGGCCACGTGGGGTCGCTCACTGTATTGTTCATAATCTACCCTCAAAAACCTGTCACGGGTTGCGAGAGGCTGTTTAAGCCTCTTCAGCTGTTTTCCCTCAATGTTGAAAGCTTGCCGAAACACAGTCGACCAGCTGGAATGCCACTTTACCCTCCGGCGCGCTATGCCATGTAAAATATGTATCTCTCTCTCTTTCACACACACACACACACACACACACACACACACACACACACTCAGTTCTTCCCGTACTGTGGAACCGAAAACCGCACTCATATGCTTTCCTCTAAGCTGAATCACCCTCGGATCCCTCCTCAAGGTCTTCGCCAGTACCCTTGAGAACTTCGGCCTCGGTCGTCGTCAGGCCCTTTCTAATGGCGAGGACGTTGTCCACGATGACTGCATCGATGCCTTCCTTCACCTGGCGCTGCAAGAAATAGTTAGCATCACTTTCCATCCGTATCGCATGTCAGACCATGCAGACTTACCTGGACCATGATGGGGTTGTTGTTCAATGTACCGTAACTGACACACAGCAGACCGCTTTCCTTGACGACGCGCACCAGCCGGGGGCTGTTAATCAGCGGCTCGGCGGCACTGACAATACCAATCAAGTTCCATCGGCTGGCGAAACGAATCGCCTCTTGAAGAGAGGACGCTCTGATATCACCGACAGGGCAGGTGCCCGCATCCGTCAAGAACATGATGGGGATGGAAGGCTGCTTGAAAGTCAAGCAAAGACAAATGTCCGGATTGAAGGAGCTGAAGATGATGTGCCTGTTGCCAGCAAGGTCATAGACTTTGGACAGAACAGTGTCGCAGAAGGAGTTGAGCTCGACGGCGTAGGTATCCATCTCCTGCTCCTCGCTCTCGTGGAGCATGGGGTACTTCATCTCAATGTTGAAGCCGATGTGCTCGGGGAGCTGTCGGAACAAGTCCTCCAATGTGGCAAATGGAGCTTGAATGAAGTTGCCTCTGGAGTTGGCTTTGTAGCCCTTGTTCTTGAAGTCGCGAGTGTGCTTCATGCGCTCTTCGCTGTGTCCGTTGAGGCCATCACCAGCGTAGCCCATGGACAAAGACCGCTGTCTAGGGCCAGGTGCGTTGTTTCTCACGCGCTCGATTCTCTCATTGACTGCGTTGACACCGTTGTTGACACCATTGGTGCGGTTTGAGTCGGGGTTGATGTGCAGGAACTGCTCCAGGGTCAAGGTATGAACCGGGGCATCGATACCCGTCTCACTGACAAGGAAGTCATGGTAAATAACCGGGACATGGTCCTTGGTAAGCTGAACATCGAATTCGACGTACTGCGCACCCAGATTGGCTGCTGCGATGAATGAAGGTACCGTGTTCTCTCCAAGCTGGAGAGACTTGTTGCTCGTCATGTTCTTACCCATGCCGCGGTGACCAATGACCATCGTTGAAGCTAGCTTCTTCCAGTAGGTCTGCTGGGAGTTGATTTCCATGTTGGGATGCGAGAATGGCGTGACAACCAGGAAGTTGAAGTTGACAGTGCCAATGACATCCAAGTTGTTGGCCAGAATCGGCACACAGACATCACCCTGGAGGTTCATGCGCTTAGTGCCAAGTGTCGGCCTGATGGAAGACAACAGGGCCACACCACGTCCAATCTTGTTCTTCTCGTTTCCAGAGTAAGTTGGGACAATGTCAAACATCAGCTTGACCTGGGAAGGGTCCGCCGAAGTGAAAACGATAGGCTCTGTAGAGATGGTCTCGTGTACAGGCAAGTCAACAATGGTGGGCTCTCCCTTGGCGCCAGTGGCCGACACGACAATAGACAAGGCGGTGTCGAGTTCCGTCAAGTGGGCTTCGGTCAAGGGAACGCGGTCGAGTTTGACGGCCTCGATATTCTTGCGCATATCCATGGATCCGAGACTGACGAGAACCATGCTCTGATCGGTAAGGTATCGATGACCAAAGGTTTTGACCGGCTCAACGGGACGAATAGCACCATTTGACTTGCGACCATCGATCGAAGACATGTTCTCGGGAGACGAGGATCGAGGGGAGCTCTCATTGGAAATCTTGAGATTATTCGTAGGCTGGACAATCTCAGACTCGGCTTGAGTGGCGATGAGCCTGGCAATGTCGAGATGACCACGCAGGGCAGCGTGTTCCTTGGCGGTCCAACCAGATGAGTCGGCCTTGGCGACAACCGCGCCAGAATCAACCAGCAGTTGTACTATCGACAAGTGACCGTCAACAGCGGCGACATGGAGCGGAGTCCAGGCGTAGGTATTCTCTGCAATCTCAAGGTCGGCTTTCTGTTCGTCGGTGCCAGCAATCAGCGACTTTGCAATTTCATCGTGGCCGAATCGGGCGGCAAGGTGCAGAGCGGTTTCACCCGTCTTGTCCTGCCAGTTGATGTCGACTCCAGCTTCAACGAGCATCTCGACGATGACCTTGTAGTTGGACTTGGTGGCCATAGCGAGAACTGCACCGGATTTGGATACCGTTCGTCTCATCTCGGCCTTCCTGACACTCACACCCTGCCAGTTTTCGCCCTGAAGAAGGGCCTTGGTGGTCAGTGGATGTCCACCCACGACACTCAAGTGCAAAGGAGCATATCCCTCGTTATCCTGCCACTCGGGGGCATCGATGCCATTCTCAACGTTGAATTGACCCCACTCCTGCATCTTGGCCATGATGACCTGGCACACGACGACGAAGCCGAAACGGGCGGCATAGTGAAGCGGCAGGCGTCCAAAGGAGTCTCTGGCGGTGAGCGCATCTCTGTGCTCAGGCTTGAGAGTGTCGAGTAGGTACATGAGAATCTGGACAGCCTCGTCATCTTTGCCGAGCAGCTTCGTCTCGTTTTGATTGAGTGCGCGGGGAACCACAGCCTGCGAGACTGCAGGCTGCAGGTCGTGAGAAGTGAACTGAGTGCCGATCGGGAAAGGATACGACTTCGGCTCATTGTCGGGATCAGACGACTTGGTTCTGCCAATGTGAATGACAAGTCGGTGAATGCAGTTGCGGTGGTTGATGTCCTCGGGCTCATAAATGGACG